ATCCACACACCCCCTCACCCTCTCTCACACCCATGTGCTGCCCAGCTGAGCTGCATGCTGTTGCCACCCCCCTGGCCAGTGGCTCTGTGCTGCTACCATCCCCAGCCCCAAGCTCTGCACTCCTGCCCAGCTACAACCCCACCCCCGCTGCTTCCTAACCTGCTGCCCAGAGCCAACAGGAGAACAGGGAAGTGGAGCAGGTTCCTAGGGGCTGCAGCAGCGGTCCCCTGCAGAAGCTGCATGCTGACCAGGCGGGGCCCTTCTGTCCACGAGGGTGGGAGCGAGGCAATAAGGTATGTTTGGGGGAGTGGGTGTACACATGGGCGCCTTGCTCCCACACTCGTGGGTGGAACAGTTGGGCAGAGCACAATTTGTTGGTGGGCTCCGCGGGCCTGATGAAAATGCTTGGCAGGCCAGATCCAGCCTGTGGGCCATATTTTGCCTGCCCCTGCCCCTAGAGCAATGGTCAACAATGTTTTTTAGCAGCAGCTCATAATTACCCAGTTCAGGTGTGAGGCAGGCCAGCACTAGGACCCACTGCCAAAGACAAAGCTCCCTGCTGCTTGGCCATGGTGGGGCATAGGGCCACCAAATTCCCCACCCCCCACTGAAGCCCTCTAGATCCCTGAACCAAATTCAGCATACAGGCTGTAGGTTGCAGATTTCAGGCTTAGAGAACGGGCAGACAGCATTTGAAGCACTCCAAAAATGGCAGAAGTGCTCCAAAACTAACACTGGAGGAAACAGCTACCATTTCAAATGAAACACTTTCTGTTACATATGCATAAATCTGTGACTTGCAATAGGGGAGGGCTCTTTCCTTCAGTATCCCACAGTGGTCCATTTCCCTCCAACCCCTCTGGATGGCCCTTTGCCCCAGCACCAGAATTAGAAGAGGTGCAGGGCCTCGTCTCCATTCTGGTGGAGGAGGCACTCTAGGAAGAAGAGTGCACCAGAGAGCACTGGCTGTGCTGCAGAAAAGGGGCTGCCAATCTCTAACAGCCAGCACCATTTCCCTCTATGCCCCCACTGCCCCGCGGTGGGAGAGCAGAGCCAAAGATTTCAGCAGTCCTCTGTTGTGCCCCCTACCTTGTGAGCACGGCACGGCATGCCAGCTAGGGGACACAGCTGGGTTTGTACATCTGTCCACTCCTAAAGTGCTGCATTTCAGAAATGATTTAGTGGAGAAGCAGGTTTTAGATAACTGGATCCTTTTTCCATTGGTTAAAATATATGCAGTGTGGATAATTAATTCAGAATTGGTTCCAACGAGATGCTAGTTCAGATTTAATTAACAGATGGAAGCAGTCACTAACAATTCCATTTTAATCCCAAGTGCTGCACAACACCACCTGTAAGTATTGCACATTGCATTTATTAATGATATGGATGATAAGATCAAGTGAACAATTAGCAAAACTGCATATGACACCATGTTGAGTGGAATCGCGGATACTCTGGAGAGCAGGGCTAGGGTCCAGAATGACCTGGATAGACTGGAGAACTAGTCTTCAGTCAATCAGATAAGATTCAAAAAGGAGAACTGCAAAGTCCTACACTTGCAGACAGAAAAATTTTGTGCACAACTACAGACTGGGGAATGACTTGCTAGGCTGCAGTGCTGCAGAGAAAGACCTGGGGGATACAGTAGACCATAAGCTGAATATGAGCCAACAGTAATCTTGTTGCAAAAAAACCCCCAAAACAACAGCATACTGGGTTGTATTACCCATTGGCACTTGCAAATCAAGGGACGTGATTCTTTTGCTCTATTCAGAGCTGTTGAGTCCTCACCTAGCATACTATGTCTACTTTGGGGCCACACTTCAAGATAGATGTGGACAGTTTGAATAGTCCAACACAGAGCAGCAAAAATCATTAAAGGCCCGGGAGGCAAAACTTAGGAAAAGATGAAAGAACTGGGGTTATTTAGTCTAGAGAAGAGAAGACTGAGGGGGGATTTGATAAATCTTCAAATATGTGAAGGGTGATTACAGGGAGGATAGAGGGGGACTTTTGTCTATGTATGCAGGAGACAGGACTAGGAGCAACGGTCTCAAGTACCAGCAAGGGAAGTTTAGGTTGGGGATTAGGACGAACTTTCTGTGAGGGTGGTCAAGCTACCTAAAGAAATTGTGGAATATCCATCCCTGGAAATTTTCAAGAGGAGGTTAGACACTGGCTCTGATTAAGCAAGGAGGACACTGAGCAGGGGGCTGGACTAGATGTCCTTGTAAAGTACGTTCAAGACCTACTTTCCTAGGATCCTATATTTATATCAATATTTATTTGAATACTACTATTTATTTCACTGGTATTTTTAAATGTTGTATTATTATGCCAGTAGTAATGTCAGCCAGCAAAATCAACCAAATGTAAGAACGAACAGTCAGTGCAATCCAACACGTAAGAAAATGCTGCATTCCAAAATAATTCACCACGCCTCTTTTAATGTAACATTAACACTTACGTTTGGTTTAGTCTCTCTCTCAAGCATGAGAGCACAGCTTTGTGCTCCTTATGGGTTTAGAATCACAGAATCATAGAAAATTAGAGTTGGAAGAGACATAAGGAGGTCACTCGCATGATCAGGGGACTGCAGGGCAGGCCCTATGAGGAGAGACTACGGGACCTGAACCTGTTCAGCCTCCACAAGAGAAGGCTGAGGGGGATCTTGTGGCCTGTTACAAACTGGTCAGGGGGGATCAGAAGGCATTGGGGGAGTCACTGTTCCCCCGAGCACAGCCAGTGACCAGGAACAACGGTCACAAGCTAGCAGAGGGTAGATTTAGGTTAGACATCAGAAGGCGCTATTTCATGGTCAGGGCGGCTAGGGTCTGGAACCAACTTCCAAGGGAGGTTGTACAGGCTCCTACCCTGGGGGTTTTTAAGAAGAGGTTAGATGAATACCTTGCTGGGGTCGTTTGACCCCAGTACTCTTTCCTGCCATGGCAGGGGGTCGGACTAGATGATCTTCTCAGGTCCCTTCCAACCCTAGAAACTATGAAACTATCTAGTCCAACCTCCTGTTCAAAGGAGGACCATCCTGAACTAGAACATCCCAGCCAAGGCTGTCTAGCCAGGTCTTAAAAACCTCCAAGGATGGAGAGTTCACAACCTCTCTGGATAATCTGTTCTAGTGTTTTACTACCTTCCTAGTGAGAAAGTTCTTCCTAATATCTGACCTAAACTTCCCTTGCTGCAACTTGAGCATTTCTAGAGCATTAATGGCAATGATACAATGAGGCAAGTTTTAGTGTTACAGGTTTGCATGTTACTTACTAAATGATTTTTTTATAAGTCATTTGGTGTAATACTGCATAAATAACTTATTTTGTCCGTTGCTTCTCAGTCTGTCAGAAGATTCCACCTTCCCAGTTCCAAGACAACACAGTTTGCATTATTATACTATCGATACAAGCACTGTTTGTGTTGAGATGCATTAAGCCAAAAGCAATGTGATTTCAGCCACAGAAGTAGTATGCTTATAGTATACCAATGCAACACTTGACCTTTTGCTTTTTTGTGTTATGTCAATACAATAACTTGAATTTGCTTATTTACCATTTTAAAAGTCAACATATTCATGCCCTGTTCCCTTATTCTGTGAAGGAGCTCATAATAAGAGGAAAATACTAAAAACCACTTTCTCTACTATGGCGTGTATAAATACACACACACACAATTTATACACAATCAAAGCTTTCTTCTCTAGCTCCATGCATCACCAAGACCTACAGAGAACAGCCTGGAAAGAGGTATAAAACACATCTTGGAAAGGGGTAAAGGAACCTAGAGATTGGATGAAAGAGCATAAATAAAGATCAGAGGGTAAATCCTGCAATGTTTTCTGAGGAAAATTTCTAGTACGTGTATCACAGGAAAAGTATTTCCCCCTTACTTATTTCCTTCATGACTAACTGAATGTAATGGACCATGTTGCAATACTCTTATTTACATTTAAGACTCTATTGCCATCAACTAATCCCAGTCTTCTTGGGCTCTGAATAAAGTACCACAAATTGTCCCAGTGGGAATATCAGGGTTTTCTTTGACAGCAGCAGCCCATCTGTACATTGTTTAGAGTTGCTGCGCTGATAAGAAATCACCAGCCAAGCCCAACTGACTAATCAAAACATGATTCAGCACCAATAGAGTCCACACTGTGCTGTTAGCTAGGAATGCAATGATGGGAAAAAATAAATCCAGACAATGTATACATAAATTCACACATTTACACAGAGGAAACTCAAACATGAGGAGCTAAGAACAAAAATATATTATTCTCACTTTGTTACACAATGTTGTGAAGCTAGAAACCCAAAATAAAAAAGGAGGACAAAAAAATGGAACAAAGAATTAGCTCAGGAACTATCAATCAGAGAGAGACTACCAACCAAAGTCTTTTGATTTCTTGAAGCAGACAATGATCAAGTATCTTCTTTTCCAGAATGCACTAAAGGAGATAAGTCTAATTTAGTTTTTAATGCTGTTGAGATTTCCATTTGCAGGAGTTCATGAAGGGATTTTCCATCATGAGTGTACACCCAGTTTCTTCCAGTCCAGTCATAGCGCTTGGGTCCACTAGGAAACAGAACACAAGCACACTATAAGCACAGATCAAACATTTCTGAAATGTGAACACTTCCAAAACAATGACCGAAGGATCTGAAACACTGAAGTTCAGGAAGTGACAACAGCTGAAACAAGTGGTAGTAAAACAGAGGTATGGGCTAGTACTCAGAAACTACCAAATTATAATCCCAATTCTAATACTAATTCCTACACATGACTTTGAGGAATTCATTAAGAACTCAGTTGAGCTAAGTAATTTCAAGCAACACAAGTAATCCTGTCAAACAGCAGGGGAACTAGTTGTACCTGAGTATACTATCTGGTTCATGACTTGAGAACTCTCTCATCTGACTTAATTAGTTCCCTCTAAAACTGTAGCTGTGAATAGTATACAAAGATGAACTGCTACAGAAATAATCTTCTCTGCCTTAAATAGTGACAAAATTGCTAACAAAAAAATACTCTACCACATAGGAGATCTATATTTGAGAGCTCCTAGTATCACTGGATGCTTGGTGGGTAAATCAGACCTCAGTTCAATTACAAGCCCTGCTCACTGTTCCTGTTGTTGCTTTAGAGCTGTGGGGCCAACCTTTTTGGCACATCTGCCACAAATTGGACTGCACACTCCTCAAGTGCCGCTGATCTCTTTCCCTTACCTGATCTGCTGCTCTGCTTTCTTCTCCCTGTCTGGTCCTCCCTGACCAAGTTGCTGCTCTGGTTTCTGTTCCCTGCCCTATCCACCACTGTGCTGCCTGCCCCTCCCCAATTTGGCATGTGCCACACACAGAGGTTGCCTATGTCACTCTTAGCACCCATGCCACAGGGTGACCACCCCTGCTTTAGAGGTTGGTTTACTCTGTTACTCAGTTACTTGCTTTTCAAATGGGAATAATAGCTGAAAGGCACTGTAAGAATTAAGTCAAAACTGCTTTATTAGTAGTAATTGTCCTGCAACCCTGAAATACATTTTTGTTAACATTCGCTGGAGAAAAGGAGGAGACAGAAAGGAGTAAAAATATCTGTACAGAATGAACAAACAGAAGAAAGACTTCAGTACTTTCTTATCTCTGAACTTATATTTCTAGGTCAAATCTCCTTGGGACTAGAAGCGATTCAAGTATGCATACTCTGTAACAAAACAGGCTGTCCTGTATACGTAATCTGCAGTGTTTAGAAACTAACAGAAAACCTGACACATTAACATCCTTATTTACAGAATTGCAATGAATAATCTTCAGGGTATAAATAAAAGCCCATGTAAAGTTAAATCAAAAGAACTGTGAACTTACAAAAACATCTCATTTGCTGTATATGAACTAATGGCTAGAATTAGGTGTTCCAGTTATTTTATGACATGTTTCTCACTTGTATAAATTTAAATGTAAACTTTAACTATCCAACACTTTAATGTGTGAGATTTTGGAAGACAAAGAGACAAAGCCCAGAAAAGCCCAGAATGGCATATATTTAATGGAAACTAGAGTAAGATAGGCTATTTTAATAAATACCTAAGAAACAGAAACTATCTATATATATAGACAAATGTTGTGAGTTGTTTTCAAATTTTACCTAGTAAATATCAATTTATATTACTATAAATATATAAAATTGTTATATGATTTAATAAATACTAACTGAACTTTACACTTTGAAATACTGCATAAATATTTAAATAAAATAAATAAATGCAAGCATGTTGTTGAACTCAACCTATGCATGCCAACACTTTGTATAATAAATTCATCTCTCACAGAAGGAAGCTACCAAATTTAATTCATTTGTTAGCTACCAAATATTTAAGCCTCATTTATTTTTGGACTTTGGGCTTTTGCCCATGCCATCAATAGACTGCACAAAAGAGACACTGTTTGCAAGTGGCACACCTCCTCTTAAATTTTCTACTTGTGTACAGCTATACAAATGCAAGCTTAGTCCACCTGACTGCACATAACAAAGCAAGGCAGTCAGGAGCCAAAGAGATTCAACAGAAGTTTCCCATTTTTCTTTGTGGTTTGGTTGCTAAAATGGCCTTGAACCACTCAACAATTTTACATTTATTGTGCTACTCCACCAAACCCAACAACATTCAAATACTGATCAACAATGGCAGTAGTGTTCATTCCTTATTCCCTAGCACATCACATATAGAAGATACAGACATCACTGTCAAATGTGCAATATGTCCATATCTTAGACAAGACAAGTTGTTTCAGGAGAAATTGTAAACCTAAACAAATGTGGGGTATTTTCTTCCAAGACAAACAAATTTACCACATTGGCATAAGCCAAATGAAAAAAAGCAAAACCTTTACAAAAATAAAACAAAAATGGCAAAACACCTTCATAAACAACATACACACAAGCACATGCATGAAAAATCGCTTCGGGGATCTTTCAGCAGATATCAGTTCTGTTCCTTTCTTCATTCTTGAAACATATTAGAACTAGTACTAAAACTATAATTTTTTCCATAAATCCATTACGCAGGAACTTCTTAGCTCAT